GAATGATCCTCTTAGTTGTACCAGCGATGCCATACTTGTTGGTCTTATGAAACATTATGACGATCATTTCATCCGCTGCTGCACGTACAGACCTGTTGTAATGATATAGTCGGTCCATCGTGTGTGAGTCCGATACCTCAAACCTATGGTCAATACTTCCCCATGATTCGACTTCTATAACTTTCAATGAGTCGTCACGCGACAATGTTCAGGAGATGAAGTGGTTCTGACGTTCTGTGATCTCTAAGAGGCAGAAGTCGCAGAATGGAAAAACTTCAATATCCATGCGTACTGCATCGCAGAACCCGGACCAGTTGTCATTGTCTTTGAAAATATCCTGACAACGATTGAATATTGAAGTACCATTGTCGCGCCGAACGCCGTCCTATGATGACGTCACTCTATGTACCGAAGTCGACGACATCTTACATAAATGAGGGATCGAGTTCACCGTACGGCACTGGAGAATTAAGGACTATGATAGTTTCTAAGCAACACCGTAGAAGATTACTATGCTTAGACTCGGGCCCTACTAGCCAATCCCGACGACTCGTTCGATGAACTACGGGCAAAAAAGGTGCACCATAACAGTTCTTCCAAGGTGCGAATAAAGATGTCAATTTGAGACTCGTCTGTGAACTTTAGTATCACTACCATGGTGCAGAAAATAAAACCAGATGCCACGGAGCAAGGTCGGCAGAGCTAAACCCTAGTAAGTAACCTCTTTGTACATGTTACGTGAATATAATTGGGGAAGGAATGGCTGATTGATGCCCAGTCCACCATTACAAGGCATCTTCCACGTCGGTGCACCTACCTTTCCCCTATACGTGCTATCTTCCCGCGCTATCTTCGCATTCGCAAAGCGGCTTGGATTTGGGTTCGAACACTAGTACTGATCTTCTGATGGAAGCGTTAAGCTATGCTTTGATCCATGAGGTACTGTGTCGCGGGGGGTTCTCGAGGTGCTCGCCTGTGCTCGCTTTAACATGATAATTCGGTCGAAAGAAAGTCGGATTATCGGTAGAATGTTGGCAAGGTAATCCCTGGTGCTAGTGATGCCTTACAGTAATATCATGCCTACATAGTCGTAAATGTATGATTTACATAAAGTAGTTCTTTGTGTAATGGCATGGATACCCTCCGAGAGGCTCCGACTAGGTCACGTAATGAAAACAGAGGAAGTTACAGCATGTTGCGCCCTCTGCAGGCTTGCAAGGTCCTGCGTGTTTTCTGCGTAACTTTGCCGCAGCTGGTTTTGCGTTGCTTCAACATTGGTCCGACGGTCGCTCCCCATACTTGTCCATAGAATTTCTGTCTTATCTTTAATTCTTCAAACATTGGTCAGTATTGACCGGACTACTATATCCGTGTAATCTAATTTCAAGTCGTCGTCTGATGGTCATTGCCATCTTCACAGCATAGCGCTCAAGAATATTCCACTCAACCTCGCCTTGAGAGAGACCCTCTTGCTCTGTTCGCTCATCATCCTGGCATTTCCTGCACTTCCAGTCACAACTACTGACGAGCACTCCCGGTGGCTGCTCTAGATGTCGAACGAGCAGCAAACACAGACCGTCCGAATCACTGGTGAGTAATGCATGATTATCGGCACCGCCATAACTGCTCATCTGCGCACGCCCAGTCCTTGCCGCCAATTCCCTTGTGAAGCGAGAGGTTTTCAGTCTCCCAGATCCATTCGCTGTTGTCTCCGTTGACACCGATCAGACATATACTACCAGCCCTGTGAAAAAGAGTCTGAGCCCAACTTGGAACCAGCACTTTGATATGTGAGTTTCTTTGAGTTGTCTCGCTGCTATTGTGCCAGTATTAAATATGTTTCGTAGCACCGTTCGACCATCTTCTACTATCACAATTCAGATATTCGACCAAAAGAGATTCAGAAAGCGAGATCAAGGTTTCCTAGGGCTTGTTGAGCTTACTGGCCAAGAGGCGATAGAGCACACGGCCAACAGTTACAGTACTCACAATCTCTACTTGCGATACTCCAAGCTGACACGACATATTTCTTCAGGGCTTATAACTCACGACCTTCGCCAATCGTCCGCTGGAACATCTGTCTACGGAAAGATGTTATTTTCGTTCTCGCTTCCGCCATCCACAAATACTCCGTCGGATGCCGGGCAAAGCAATCTATCACCTAGCGTATCATCAAACCGGTCTCTGCGTCCCCGTCAGAGCACACCCATGCTTCGCCCTGAGTCCTCAACAAGGCTACCCACTCTTCCCCGCGTCCCATCTCTCGGTTCCCTTCTCAACCGCCAAAGCTCAACTTCCAATTCAGAGTCCCGAACCTCGTCAGATAGTGCAACAACACGAACCAGACCTCCTGTAGGTATTGCACGCGAGCCTTCTCAATCTACCCCCAGTCCTGTGGACGACGGAGACGAAGCACTCCTCCCTCGAGGATGGGAGCGCCGTCTTGACGAACGAAGCGGTCGAGTCTATTACGTTGATCACAATAGAAGGATGACCACATGGGTACAGCCTGCAGCCACACCTTCTACATCCTCTGTCCGTGCTCCATCAATCTCAGTACCACAGCCGCACGTTCAGAACCCCACCCGCAGCAGCGGTGGCTATGTGGATGTCCCCCTACCAGCAGGGTGGGAAGAGCGTCGGACACCAGAAGGACGTCCCTACTTCGTTGACCACCATACACGCCTGACGACATGGATAGACCCACGTGCGGTACAGGTCGCTCCCTCTGCTATGTCTGCGTCGACGAGCGCGAGTGCGAATATGGGTCCCCTTCCATCAGGTTGGGAGATGCGCCTCACCTCCACTGGCAGAGTGTACTTTGTTGATCACAATACCCGCACCACGACCTGGGACGATCCAAGATTACCCTCGAATCTGGATTCTAATGCCCCTCAGTACAAGCGTGATTACAGAAGGAAGGTGATCTACTTCCGCAGTCAACCTGCAATGAACCTGAAGGAGGGGAAATGCGAATTAAGGCTGCGGAGAAGCCGAGTCTTGGATGACAGCTTCGCCACTGTCATGAGAATGAGCGGAAATGAGTTGAAGAAGAGGCTCGTGATCAAGTTCGAAGGAGAAGATGGCTTGGATTATGGAGGTGTCTCAAGGTATGAACTTCACTGGTTGAGGTGACCTTGTTCTAACGCTGCGATAGGGAGTGGTTCTTCCTGGTGTCTCATGAGATCTTCAACCCATCCTACGGCTTGTTCCAATATTCTGCACACGACAATTACACACTTCAGATGAACTGGATGTCGGGCATCAATCCTGAGCACCTCACGTACTTCAAATTTATCGGGCGATGTCTTGGGCTTGCTATATTCCACAGGCGGTTCCTCGATGCCTATTTTGTGCCGAGTTTCTACAAGATCATCCTCGGAAAAAAGTCAACATTGGCTGATCTCGAAGGTGTCGATGCCGACCTTCACCGTAGTTTAGTGTGGATGTTGTATGTTTCCGTTCTTATCGCTGCTAAGTCGAGTCGCTCACCATTCGACTCAGAGAAAATGACATCACCGATGTCTTGGACGAAACGTTCACGTCTACGGAAGACCGCTTTGGCGAGATTGTGGAAGTCGAGCTGAAGCCTGGCGGAGCTAATATACCTGTCACCGAAGATAACAAGAAGGAGTACGTCGAAGCGGTTGTGGAATACCGTACTAAGACAAGAGTCCGGGAACAATCGCAAGCCTTCATGCTCGGGTTCCATGAGATCATACCTCAAGACTTGATTGAACTCTTTGACGAGCGAGAACTGGAGCTTCTCATAGGAGGGATGTCGGAGATTAACACGTGGGTATCTCATCATGCTTATCTTTATCACGTTAACAATGCATTACAAGCGATGACTGGATCCAATACACTGATTACCGCGGATACGAAAAGACGGACAAGGTCATCGAGTGGTTCTGGCAATGTATCCGTAGTTGGCCCCCCGAACGCAAGTCGCGCTTACTCCAGTTTGCGACGGGTACTTCCAGGGTACCTGTCAATGGCTTCAAGGATTTACAGGGTTCCGATGGGCCCCGGAGATTCACCATCGACAAGTCTGGTGATCCATCGCAGCTCCCGAGGAGTCATACATGTTTCAACAGGATCGAGTTGCCTCCTTACGAAGATTACGAGAGCCTCGAGAAAAAATTGACGTATGCCATCGAGTGCGTTCGTTTTCTGTTCGATCTTGGAGACGCACACTGATTTCTTTGGGTTCTTCACAGGGAAACGGAAGGATTTGGTGTCGAATGAGTTGTACTTCTTGCTTCGATTTTTTTTTCTCTTGTTTATTTGGATATCAAAGTGTTGTAATTCCTTATGCTGCACAAATACTGAATCATCCTTAATTTCCGCGTCCTCGCATCGGTGCCAGACTGACTTGCAGTACTGATGCAAATGACGATTAGGTGTATAGATGGTTGCCTGCCTAACGGAGCCATCGATGACTGGTTTCGCCTGATCTGCTCCCGCCCGCATGGTCTTCAACGTTGCTTGGATTGACATCGTTGATTTCCTAGATAGGCCATGCACATAGAAATTGATATGGCGTATACGAGAGAATTCGAAGCACATGCATCTGGACCAGTGATCTGGCCTTTCCCGAAGGAAGGGTATATTATGTCCATTAACACGGACTCAGGTATGGCGTTTTCTCTGAAACTCATACTAAATTCGTCCATGCGGACTTACATATCGCCCTCTTGTATCGTGCAGTATCGCACCGTAGATGTTTTGAAAAAAAATGAAACTACAAACTCAAAAGTTCATTGGGGCGATACTCAGTCACTGAATGAGAGCGCTCCACAATGCTCAGTCTCGTTCCGTTCGGTCCGACTTTTGAGCATGTATAAAAGTTGCGCCATTTTCGGGGTTTTGCCAGCTGTGAAAAACCATGACCGAGCGCGAATGCATGGGAATCGGGATACATCAATAAAGAAAGTAGGTATGGGAAGAGAGCTTCGCTCTGGCTGAACATCTCTTCCTATCCGTACTTCCTGTATTAGTGTTGCCCTATTTGCGCAATCGATTGACTGGCTTGCATCAGAAATCGTCCAATATGAAAAATTTGAAAGGAATAAATTTGAAATTGCTCGAGTGGGCCCAGGACGGTCAGCACGGGAAACCCGCACCGAGTCGATCCCGGAACTGTATTCCGCAACGTATTGTCTGCATTGCCAAAGGCTCCAGCGATAGCGAATGATCTTTGACAGTGTGCGTATAAGTATATATACAAGCTGTGATAGAAAATCCGCGCCGTCTCAAAATAGCGTCGATAATGGCTAGGATTCGTGAGGGACGATATGGCACCTGTTGATGAGCATTATTTCGTGTCGGGAAAACGACCAAAGATATCGTACCCTAGCATGCCACGCCCACCCCAGCCCTTACGCGGGATGAGTTTCAGTTCCATGGTTTCCCCAGACCTTGATATGATAACCTGAAGCTCGCGCTAAAGAATGTCAACAGATGGGCAGTGCGGGAAAAGTAACCTGAACCAACATTTTCATTAACAGATACTAGATCTGCAAGCGGTTGCAAAGAATTTGCTGTAAATGATGATCGTGCGAGCGATCCAAACTTCAATATCAGATCTTCTCGTCGAAGTCCCTGTAAGCAAAACTCTGTCGCTATCGTCCTCGAAGCGAGCTTCATACCAACGTACCGCTTCTGCTGCGGGGCTACTCGGGGCCACGCCATCCACTCTTGCGAAAGCAAGCAGCGATTCCGCGCTATCCGTTAAACTCGTGTGCTGCGCGACCTCCTCAGATGCGGCGGGTGATGATCCAACTGTCGATGGATCATATACCGCCTGGAGAGCTGTCTCAATCTCATTCATGACAGCTTTGTAGTCGTTTCGCAGCTCGTTTATGCGTCTGCGGGCATGCCGTATAGCATATAAGTCGACATCTGCCCGGGGAAACCCTTCCCGATCAACCAGGGGTGTGGTCATATCAATGTTATTGGCTTTAAGAATAGAAAATTGCGCGTCGAGTTCGGCCTCGATGTTCTCTCTTTGAGACATGAGAGCACGAGCGTGCTCTCTTGGGTTGGTTGGGGAAGGCAGCATGAATCCCATTTTCGTATTTCTGCCAGAAAGATGAGTTGGAGAAAGGGAGTGATCTAAGGCTAACGTCATTATGTGATTCAGACGCGTTTACGTAACTTGCGGGGAGTTACTCTTGACATGCAACCAACTGGTTCATTCTCAGCATATACACTCTCAAAAGTATATGTTCCTTGATATATCTATCCAATTACTTGGCTGTACACGTTCTAGCCAGGGCTGGAGACACCAATTGCTTCATAGGCTATAGCGCCAAAGGTAGGTCCACCGGGCCATCGTATATGTTGCTGAGATCATGACAAGAGCAGTAATGGTGTTTGGGTCCATGTATGACTCCGTGCTAAGACGAAGGTCAGTTCGTCTCGACATCTGAGCGGTTCTTAGACCTTGAAAATCCGTGCGGATCATCATATGATAATCTGGTCTTATCCGTAGTTCTATCAACCAAGATGGCGATTTTAAGATCCGGGCGGTGCGTTGCGACATGATAGGTGCACTAGAATAAGCACACCAGAAAATATTGCTTCCCACTCCAGCTGTTACAGACCGGGCCTCCTCGATGGGAGTAGAGTGTCGGTATAGGAATATCAAAGCGCAGCTTGCGTTTCTACCACGGGCATTTATCTTGCTCGGCAAGGAATCATGAGTATTGTGTTCGACATCCCTACATTGCACTTCACTACCATTTGCGTCCGTAAATATTGGTGATCTCGACGTTTAATGTATTTCTGGTGATGTCAATCATTCAGCTATTATCGCTACGTCATACAGAGTCTCAGGTGTTAGGTGACTCGATCTCCCCTTCGATTATTCATTCCCGCCACAATCATGAACCTTCCGGCTGTGTATTCCCTCGTTTGTGACAGGTGCCCCCCAGTGGGACGCGGTCCAGAGTTGGCACATGCTATGACAAAGTTGACAACTCACATCAAGAAGGACTCGGAAGTGACGACTCGGAGGAGTGGGAGTCCGGCAGTGTAGCTGCGCTGTACAAAATACCAAAGGGCGAAAATGCCGCGTGGCCGATGCACAGTTCATTGAAGCCTAGCTCAACTAGCGCCGTTGCAAATCGCTTCCCGGTGACACCAACTCCGTCAGACTCGATCGCCAAATCATGCAACTCCAATAGCCACTGATCCGTTGAATCGCCCCGCAGCTCCTCTCAGTCGCTCTTGGCAAACTGATCGGATCCCCAAGGTGCGGGCACGTGCACGTGCTGCCTACGTGGGCCGTGGCGGAACGTTTAGTTTGCAAGTACTACATAATAGCGTACATGGTCATGGGAACCGCCAATCGAATGTGAACATGTGACCACTCAATTCCGAACATCCTAGGTTTCATTGGGGATTGGGGGTAGTAGTTCGGCTGCCAGAGTTTACAACGACGGGGTAATGCGGGGCGTATTATGTACCAGTAGAGCGCTCAAGCGCTCACATGCCTAGCCGCCAGTATATGAAATTTCCTTTAATGGATATCGTTTTTAAATTCCGACAACACCAACTTGAACTGCCTTGTACTGCATAGCTTAGGTATAAATAACCTAGCCTCGCGTTCTGGACCAACGTATAGCTATGTACATGTATCACCTTGCTAGCAAGCTTGTTTAGATCCGCAGCCTGTCTGGTAGCTGCGGTAATACTCCATCTCGTCACTCGGCCTCGGTTAGTGACGCCTTGGAGCTCAACTCGGTGGGGTTCTCAGAGAATGTAACAGGATCTAACGTTACTCCCACTAGGGCAGCCCTTCCTTTGATGTCAGATGTACTTAGTAAAGTGATATATGGACATGGCGTGATCACATCCGAAATTCCACGTAGTAGTTCAGGTTTTGAAAGACCAATTAAATGACTCGGAAATATTCTGAATAGGGTCAGATATGCCGTACTTGATGATAAATCGACGGCCGAAATTTATCCCAGTCTAAAACGTTCACTTGATCAGTTTTTTATATAAGTAGACTAGAGGGAACGCTAAGTACTAGTGTCTTTGCCCTCACCAGTGTGATTAGTTTGGCGCTTTGACAACGGAATCTGTGTTCTTATTCGGAAGCAACCCGTTGCATCCTAGTCATACTTAAAACCGTACCACGTCTCGGCAGCCTCCCGCATCCATCGCACCTACAACCTCCTCTCACCCGAACTCCCATTTCTCACCATGTTGTCCCAAAATTTCATGCTAGAGAAAGACCCTCTATCTCTCGAGCGAATCCGTCAAATTCTGGTCCGCCTTGAAGACACTATCATATTTGACTTGATAGAGCGAGCCCAGTTTGCTCACAACCCCCGAATCTACATCCGTGGCTCCTTTCAGGAACTGAGGGATATGGAATTTGATGGAAGTTGGCTCGAATGGTTTTTGAAAGAGATCGAAACTTTCCATGGTTCGTGCCCTGGCCAATGCTAAACATAGGCAATATGCTAAATCACATCACCACATAGCTAGAGCTCGTAGATATACAAGGTATGTTTCTTACAATCATATCTCTTTCACCGCTTAACGCCATGATAGCCCAGATGAATACCCTTTCACGTCCAATCTTCCTGTTCCAGTCCTTTTACCCCTGGCTTTCCCAAAAATACTACAACCAAACACTATCAATGCAAATCCATCAATCCTGTCTTTCTACACTCGTTCCATTGTTCCGCGGATAACGAGACGGGCGACCCTGGCGCTAGCTGCGATCAAGCGCTCAAATGGTATTATTGGGGATGAAGAATACGAGGACGACGGTAATTACGGTAGCGCGGCTACCATAGACGTTGAAGTCCTGCAGGCAATTAGTAAACGCGTGCACTACGGTTAGTCACTTCCATCGAGCCTGATGTCCTTCTAATATTTCTGATTATAGGAAAATTCGTTTCTGAATCGAAATTCCTTGAAAATCCCGCTGCCTTCATCCCTCACATCCTGACGCCTAATCCAGCCGCACTCGAAGCGCTGGTTACGAAACCAGAAGTTGAGCGCAAGCTGCTTCAACGTTTACGCAAGAAAGCTGCCACATACGCACAAGAGTTCAGCGCCGATGGTGAAGCTATCGTCAACTCTCATTTGAATGGTAGTGCAAAAATCGATGTTGATGGTGTGGTGGAGTTGTACGAGAGCTATATCATCCCTCTGACAAAAGAGGTCGAGGTATGCGTTTACTCGTCTTGTCATGCAAGTGGATCCTCAACTTAACGCATTTTGCCAGGTCGATTACCTGTTGCACAGATTAGATGGTTTGTCGCAGGATGAGATCAATGACCTCGCCACTGCATGTTAATGAACCACATGATTGACTTTTTGGACCTATTACGCTGCATAACCTGTTTCCCTACCTCGAGTTACTACCATACATAATCACAATAGTCATTTTTGTTTTTTTTCCATTGGTTTTGTATAACTGGGTTGTTAATAGCGACGTACGTTGGTTTATCTTGCGGTATTCCACCACCTTGGGATTGGACATCTGGACGTGGGTTTTTGACAGATCTTTCAGTGGAAATTATGAGGTGGAGATTCGGGGTTATTTTAGGAAGGGAAATGTGCCGCACCTGCAGCAGATAGTGTGAGCAGTGCTGACAGATCTTAGTACTTACTCTGACATGCCCTTGGTGATGGGCGTTCGGAAGACAACCACACCACTGCATCGCTATGGTATCTTATGTTGTCCAAATCTCGATATCTCCGGCCCAAGTGCTTGATTCTTGATGCCTACTGTGCTATTGCACTGTCTTCTCGCATTCGAGCCTATCAAATGTGTACGATTGAACATCATGGCATTGAGTGGGACACCGCATGTATAATAGTCTCCACAAGCCTGAGATCATTGATTAGCCGTTGTCAAGTTCTGCTAGCAAAATTCTAACACAGCAGAAAGGGATAGTCACTAGTCACTAGCGGACACTGCCACCCATATGGTCCCGGCATTCTTCAAATCCGCTGAGAAAATCAATAGGAGGACATCAAACGTAGGCCGTGTGGATGGGAAGTTATCAAGCTTAACCATTGTCCTGAGCCGGCATAGACTCGGATGTTCTCATCTCTACTGCAATTTCGGGATATCCCTAAATGTAATGATCAATGATCATCGACCCTCGGCGAGCATAATTGTGAGACCGAGGATAAAGGCACACAGATTGACGTCACTGGAGTAGAGCGCGCGATTCCATCGACCATCGATGCTCGTGACCTAGAACGATTGTGCCACCAGAAGTTGTTCTGCCAATAACACTATGAACAGAAAAGGAAGTATAAAGAGTACAGCTCTGAATCAATAGAACAGTGGAGCTGCGTAGTCTGAGCTGTTCAGAGGAAGCTTATGTCAGCTTATATCGTTGGTGGTAGTACCCAAGAATGGTAAGGTACGGCTGATAATTATAATTATTTTATTTTCACTTACGGAGCCTGGCAGTGCCTGGGTGTCGTACTAGTCTGTAGTCCCAGGATGCGCTGTTTGGTAGTTCTGCGCTGTGTCGTAGTCTGACAGTCCTGGATAGATATCGAGCCGCAGCCTGCCACTATAGAGTTTTGGCATTGTGTTTCCCTTGCAGTCCGTCCCCGGTCCAGGGTGCGTGTTCAAGTTCTACCTATATCATCACATAGTACTTACTAGGCTTGGGTCCTGTGGCAAGTTTGTGTCATTGAGTCTGACTCAGAGAGAGCGCCAAAGGGTTGGAGAGGGTTGGTCTTTTTGTCGCCCCGCTAAAATATATTATGTACGGATACCGCCGCTGCGCCAGCACATCGGCGCACTAGCAATTTGGTGCTCGGATACTTACCTGGGAGTGCTACGTCCGCAAAATTCTTGCCGCAAGAACCCACTAAGTTTGATCATCATGACAATTCAAGTCCAGTTTGTTCTTCTATGGTCGCTGATTCACCATCCGTAATTGTTACTGTCCACGTATTCGCGTTGTTTTGGTTGATGTATTGCGTTATGCCCCTCCCATGACCTTCAATCGAGTTTGGCCAAATTCTACTTATATTGTTGTGTCCCGCTGTATTATGTATCGGCTCCATAACGGGGCTCTCCCTGGAGCTATTTTCGCCCGTGCTTCTATCTCCCACTTACTAGTAGTTTGAGTCTCAAAAACCTTTGAGGAGCCCCCACGGTGCCAAACTACGGTCAATTTCAAACAGGGGTTCAAAAACAATGTATTTAAAAGGTGCGTAGGTTTAAATCCAAAAGTGTGGGGGACGCAAGCCCAATGTGATGTTCCCAATGTGAAAGGGAATGCAAAAAATAGATCCGTGGTATGAACGAAAACATATGTACAACGTACAACTGGTCCAGAGGAAGTGATCCAAGACTAGGGAGTACAAGGGGGGACCTGATAAAACTCATAAATAAGAATAAATCGACGGGATTACAAGCCAAGATCTAGGGGATAGAGTGAGTCACAAAGACCGTAATGCACAAACAGGTGGCGTGCCTTCCAACAGACGTTTCGCTTCTTCAGGACCTATGTTCCTGGTTGCACGCCTAGCCAAGAGTTTTTCTGTTCGGTACTTCTCGTACAGAACTTCCCGAGTATGTACCTTGAGAACCTGGGGAGTGTTCCGTAGCTTCATCAGTGTATACAATACGTCAGTAAATTACTCACCTTGAGATGGGTTAATAGAATCGCTGTTCGGAGGGCAGCGAAGTCGCAGTGGTCAGGGTTCAGTACGTCAATGGTCCCCCATCTGAACTTCCTAGTAAACGCGCCCCTGAGATCCTCCGGGGGACCTTGAAGAAACACGGATTTGCGGACAGTAGGACTATCCGGGGAGATGGGTGTTTCTGCCACAGGGGTAGAGTGCCCTGTCGTGTCTCCCCGAGCCGAAAAGTCATATTCAGGGGAAGCTGGTTGCGGCCGTCTAATCCGCGGGGTAGTTGCCTGTTCCGGAGCGATAAGCGCAAAGGGGAGTAACGTTGAGATATCTGTTTTGGAGACAACATGAGCTGAGAAACGAATATTCGCTACGCTATCTTCTTCGGCGCCATCGGGATAGTAGGGCTCTCTTTCGTCTTGAACTAGGTCACGACGGAGAGCGGGAACGAGAACGGGAAAGCCGTGTCCCTTTCAGAGTGATCACTGGACGTGAGGGGCGTCCCTTGTTTTCACTATCATTTGCAACGTAAGAGCTTCCATTTTGGCGAATGTCACCGTTCTCACGGTGACCGTTTACTTCTTGTGGCAACGTTGTGGCAGCTTTATCGTCCGAATGCGATATCGATGCGGGGGAGTCCGCTTTCGGCTTGGGTGTAGAGAACACCCCAAAGTCTAGCCCAGCTGACTCTAGGTCCCTGTGAACGGCGGCTTTCACCAACGACAACGTGTCATCCGTAAGTGAGTCCGCATGTGCAATAACAGGAAGCACGTTCACCCGTGCCGAAAGACGACGGATCACGCGAAGCTCAGCGGGGGACATTGCGAAGTCTCTGGAATATTCTTGATGGTAAATGGCTTCTTGGGTATCTCCGACGGTAGTACGAGAGACCGTGGTATCTGACCGGGCTCTGCCCGACATAGACGGGGGGCAAGGTGATGGTGACAATATAGACGAGGGATCAACCATAAAGATACACCTAAATCCATAATTTTGAATCAATAATTGTTGACGTGATAAAATTCCTACAAGTGAACATGTTGATCCCCCTTGCTTTGACGGACAACTTTAGACTCCTATATATCCATTCAGTAACAGCTTTGAAAGAACAAAGTAGCATGATATACCTCATTCATTGTATCTGCATATTGTGCGTCAAGATACTTGATCATCCCACTGACCTGACGTTCAACCCGCAACTCGTGCCCATCGCTGAAATCCAATCCCGGGGTATCGATGACAGTCAGAAGTACTCGGTCATACCGCGACTCGCAAATTTCGACACACGCCGTATTAAGTTGCTGTGTGTGCTTCAGAGAACCATTTAAAAACCGGTCCAAGCCCACAAGCTGGTCTTCTGTCGAATTTGGTGATATGTCTGCAGTTTCGAGAAGTAAACGCAAGAACGAAGTCTTCCCTGTGCCTCTTGCTCCTACAACCTGATTGACCCGTCATAGTTCAATCAATTTTGGGAGATCAATGTGGTAACATACCATGAGGTTGAACGCAGGTGGAGTACGGTTTTTACGGTGGGATCTCCGTGGTGACAGGGCAGGAACGGTGGAAGATCTCCAATTACCGAACGCAGATGGGGGGCGAGACATATACATCGACGAAATCTTGCTGCCATTTTCCGCCGGTTGTCCTGCAATTAACCGAAATGGTTTGTGGAACGGAATGGGGGCACGATCGGAGGAGGATACAGAGCTTTTGACCGCACCTTGCTGGGGATAACGTTCTGGCTCTGGACGGGAACTTTCGCGTATTACCGTGACATCTACCAAGTTTTCCGGCCATGGAATGCCTTGAGAATGCAGCTCAGGCAGAGAGGGAGAGGTTTTCAGTGGTGACCCCGTAGAGTCTGAAGTTCGGGGTTTTCTGCGAAAAGAAAACATGATGAGATACAAGAAATAGAAGAATAGTGAGAGTGGGGCAATATGGGACGGGTATGAACACTAGTAGGATAAAGAACGTGCGGGATATAGGAATGTTAGTTTACAGCCAAAGAGAAAGGTTTACAGGCAACAGAGCTGCCGTTTCAGCGGTAATTTTGGTGTCAAGGAGAAGTCAAATCCATATTTCGACAGAATCACAAGCTCAGGGCAACCCATGGCAACCCCGCGCTGGTTGATAGGCCATTAGAGTTCCCACCAATGGCAATAGTACAACGAGTATCAACGTTTATACAAACTTGATCTTGATTCCCCAACTTGAATCGACATACATACAATGGTCGACGATAGCAATATCGAAGAGAAAACATTGGCGCCTGAAACGGGAATAGTAAAGGAGAAAAAATACAGTGCAATCGTGGTCCATGCACAAAACAAGACAAGAACACTTGGAGATAACCCAAAAAACATAACGTTCAACGACAGTTTCCAAGCTTTCCAAGGGACAGTGCATATGCGAGTTAATTCTACAGTTTACACCTGATTTGGTCAGGGAGGGGTGATGATGAGGGGTGCTCAGGGTATAACGTCCCCAGTAGTTTCATCCACCCTCATTCTCTTTTGAATATGTGAAGGCTCCATGTCGTCCATCTTTCTCTTCAGATCGATATCCATGGGCTCTCCTTGGTTTTCCTCAGAAGACTTCCCGGCAGAATAACGAGAGTCGCCGACAACAGTTGATGAAGGGGGAGAGTGGGCGGGAGGTGAGTGCACGGAAGAAAGATGTACTTGAGGGGCATTTGCCTTGGAGGTCGAGGCACGTCGAGTCCCTTTTTTATTCACGCCGTTGGTGCTGGAATCATGATTGTAGTTACATGGGAGGGACCTTCGCGCACAGCTGGAACAGGCTGGATGCGCTCCATCGCACTTCGTCTTCCTCGCTAGATAGGATTGAATCAGTCCAGAACAACATAATGCTTCACAAACCAACCTCTGCAAAAGTTGCACGCCACCACTTTGGGACCGGTGCTGGCAGCGGGACGATTGCTCCTCCCAGGAACAGTAGGAAGCACGTTTTCGCTGAGCAGCTTGTTGCTCTGAGGCTGGTCTAATAGGCGGAAGCGGGGGAGCACTCATTGCAGCCGCAGGCGAGTTCTCAGGTAGCGACAGAGTTGCAATATGGGGTAACTCATTGTCTTTGAACAACGTCCGTCCGTCGGAGGCTCCCGAACTTCCTGTAGCTACCCCAGACTTGGGCCTAGGATGCATACTGTGAAGACCTTCGCGGGGTTCTGATGGGCCAGCAATGGCAGGAAAGGTATCTAGTATTGGCCGCTTATCGGCAACGTTGGAGCTCCTGCGAGATAGTAGTGGCTGGGAAACAGTCTCGGGGGATACCGAGGGATCGTTGTCTTCGGCGGATCGGTCTTCGCCACTCATCTCAGACTCACTATCCTCTTTAGGTGGACGGTGGGGATTGCGCCGTTTGCTGGTTTGTGGCATATAATCGCAAAGGTTGGACCGCTTGACACATTGGCTACAAGCAGGGCGCCCCCCGTCGCATTTGAGTTTTCGGGCTAGAGAGCGTCCTGAGTATTGAATCCGCAAGGGAGGGCGGAGTCTACATACATCGACAGAAGTTGCATGCCACTGTAATCTTCTTAGTCCTCTGCTTGGAGGACCCTGTTGTCCAGGGTTAGCACAAATTTATCTGAGTCAGGACCAGACGCATGGACTTACTCCCAGATGCTGTCTTGCCTTGAAGCTGTGAAGAAGCACCATCTGTCATCGGACGGGAAAGTGGCGGCCCACGCAAATCTGCCCCAGGAGGAATGTCGCGGGCCATGGGAAGAGGGGGATGTCGGACAGAGCCATGACCTGGCTGAGTCTCAATAGTCAAAACAGGGCGAGGAGCATGCGCAAGAGGTACAGAAGTACGTGGGACCGCTTGTTGTAGGGTATGAGGGTGAAGCTGGTGGTTAGCATGGTGCTGGAGCAAATATTCGTTTCTAAACTTTTCAAAAAGATATTCTCGAGTGTATTTCTGCAGCGTCTAGGCGAGGGTCAATTTTAATGGCAACATCAAAAGTCGGACAACTGGAATGCCCACCTCCATGTGATGAAATATAGCAGTGCGGAGTGGCATGAAGTCACTATGAACAGGATCTAGAACATCCATGGATCCCCACCGATAACTTCTGATGAACTTGCCACGCGTCAGTTTAGAAGCGGTGTGACGAAGAACCAAGGGGGCGTATTGCTGTACGAGCTCGTGACGTGATAGGGGCATTCTCGTTACGCCATCACTATGCGAGTAGATATCGGGTGAGATAAGAGCGTATGGGAGTTTAAGAGACGCCATTGCTGGAGAATTCGGAGGCGAAGGATGTCCATGCGGAGAAGTCTTATTCGCATGGCCACTGTAGCCATTCACCATTTCACCCTTTACAGGGTGCGCAGATTCAGCCGCGTCTTTACGGTGCTGGTACTGCGCATGGGAGTCCATATCGAAGATTCCGAAGCCAATGCCGGCTTCCGCGAGATCTCGGCGAACAGCCATTTTGACGGCCGCAAGGCGGTCGTTGGTAAGCGTGTCTGCGCGAGCTATTACAGGCAGCACATTGACTCTGGCAGAAAGCCGCCTGATAGTACTAATTTCGCTAAGAGGAAGGGAAGGGCGACATAGGAGGGGATTGTTCGTGACAGGGGGCTCGAGAATGACGGGCTCCGGCTCCGTGACGGAGAAGCTACTGCCCCGAGTACGAGTGACCAGCGGAGCGGGAGGTCCTGGTACAGAAGGTGGAACAATCACGTCGGGATCCAAGAAGTATATACACCTGGTCCGTGGGTCAGTTCACAGTGACGCGGCGACTAAGCGCCCATGTCAGCAACGCACAAATGGATGTTGTTGTCACCCGCTGGAGATCTCCACTCCTACACCGAAAAAAATGGGGTTCAATATAATGTAGGAAAGGAGTCTGGGCAAACTTACATCCTCGATGCCATCGGCGAATCTGGATTCGACATGCCTGAGTATCTCATGGATAGCCCGCTCAGTGGAAGCTTCATCCTCGAACGTCAAAGAGGGTGTATCCACGAGCGTGAGAGTAAGGACCTGAGGTGTGCTATTTTGGTCAATATCATGTTCGATATTGATGGATGCGGTGCGTATGTGGGATGTATGACCGCTGCAACCCTGCACGAACTTTGCGACGGAGGCGAGCTGGTCCTTGGTGGCTGTCGAGGAGATTTCACTGGTGTCCAAGAGGAGACGCAGAAATGAGGTCTTGCCGGTGCGTTGACCAGCGACCATAACTGTATAACCACTGAAGTCGTTTAAGCCATTGGAGTGAGGATCATGACCGTTGCCAACTGTTCCGGGGACAAGACCGTTAGAATATGAATGTGTGGCCCCTGGGACGGACTGAACGGAAGGAGGGATTGGGATACGGTCGTCGTCGTCGTTCATGATGCGTTGTTCGCCATTGTCGACGACGAGCGGCATCGTGAGTATGACAGACGAATCGAATGTCCGTTCGGGGGAGACAGAGCGAGGGTTTGTCCGCGAGGTGAGGCAAGCGCGGGGATGATAAACACCGAAATTCCAGAAAAGAGGGAAGCTAACGGAGCCGAGCCTGAAATCTACATGCACCGAACCAATCGGGTCCATTACACCCAGGTTTATTCCTCCGACTTGAATTGAATCCTTGGAAATTTCAATCATTTATTTCCCTTTTCGTTCAATATTCATTTATTATTTCAGGTTCAATGATCTGACAGCCGAGGCTCGAAAATGTTAACAAACAATACTTGGTGATAAAATAGATACGTAGCACAGATATATCATAGAAATAAAACAAACGGCACTACATAACATTATATTGTGGTAGGCTATCATGTCTGCAGCTGAGAAAAATTAAACCAGGTTATCACCATCAGGATTGAAACAAGGAAATAGGGTACGGCGGATATGGCTCAGCCACGGAAAAGAGGGTGATTCCGAAACAACATTCGCATCTAGGCTTCATTTCTCGTCAACAGAACGTGAGAGCTTATTCAAAAAAGACGCTCACCAAGAAAAGAGCGTAGCAACGATAAAGAGGTATCCGATCTCCAGAATACGTAACAAGCAGTGCGCCGCCGGGTCATTATCCCGTCAATACCGTGGACAGTTGTGGGTGCCGATCCTTTACTGTCCGCCTGCGTCGGTCTACGTCCGCAAGCATCTGCATCAACAGCAAGTACCGTGTCTCCATTGAATGTCCTCATGCTTTTAATTAGTCGGCTCCTCGTCTGTATCACCCTTCCGCGACCCAGGAGGCAATGGATGCCCAGACTCCGCTAACCGGCTGTCTTCTTCGTCTCGTCCCCAGAGTGGCCGCAGGCTCTCCACTGCTCCTTGATCGAATACATCGCTCGTGAAGTGATAGTGTAGGATCGGTTCCTGTTCTTCGCGATGCACGTTCGAAGCACTTGGCCGATCAGTGTAAGGCGGTGGCGCATAAACGGCCACCAGCCTGGACAAGTGAGAGTGACCGTGACCTGGTAACATCATCATCGGTGGCTCAAATACATGCCGATCTGGGAGTCCTGCAGCTGAAGGCTGTTCAGATCCGTCCCTATCAATTTCACTTGTGGCTGCTTTAGAACTTTTTCTCCCCTTTCGACCTTTCCCTTCCGATTTCTTGGTCCGCGAGCCTTTTGGTGCTTTTCCAGGGCCACGTCGTCTAGGGTGATCCTTATATACACATTCCAATGTTCGGGTGGAGCAATTCGCGCAGGAAGGTTTCGTCCCGTCACATCGAAGCTTCCGCCCTGTAAGGTTATGGGGCAATTGATGCCAATCGGAGGTGAAGTTCTTGAGCAATCACCGCAAAGGTATCCACTCACCTCGGCAAAAATCACAGGCAACGTAGATTTTGCGCGCAACTTTGGTCTTCCTTTCATCCTGAGTGTCTGATCGCTTTCTTTTGCCTCGCCTATACGACGGTCTTTCGCTACTGGACTCTCTATCCTCCACTGATGCTTCTGCAGGCAAAATTTCCTGTGTCTGGTCGTGTGAGGACGATTGCGGCCCTCTGTCGGAGTATTCTTCCCTGAGCGGCCGCATGAAAGATCTAATTGGAGGGAGAGAATACGAGGACGCCCTCTGAATTGGGCGATCATCTAGCAACGTTCCTGGTGCATGTTGATTGCTAGAGGACCCAGAGCGGCTGCGCTCTTCCCATCGCTGAGGGGGAAGTGAGTGATGTCGTATGATATTTGACTCAAGGTGATGCGAAGACGGTTGTAGGTGACCAGAATCATCATGTGCTTCAGGGAAGATTCAGAATTTACAGTGTTTTTTCAAACATAGTCAAGGACTCACAGTGAGGTGTGCTGTACGGGGGGCTATTTTCACGACTGCCAGTCATGTCCCTTGGAATGAAGGACGGAAAGGGCACTGGTCTTGGCTGTGAAATCAAATATCTGTCCAAATGGATCTCTTGTACAGGATCGAGGGACGTGGCTTCGTATGTCTGCTCACTGTCGTCGTCGTCATCTCCCTTTCGATTCTCTTCTGGCGCGCGACTGCCACCTCCCGGCCTGCGGGCCATGTGGGATGACGACGAAGAGCCTGCCCTGGCTTGAAATGTGCTCGGTGACGGTACATGATATTGACTTGGAAGGGGTGAGGGGGTACGTATAGGAGTGAATTGAATTATGATGATAGAAGGGTGGCTCGTTGCCTGGAATTCGATTACCATGGGGAATTAAGAAAGCCCTAGGGGGGTGCGCGAAGCCAGCGGCCGCACCTCCCCTCCGGCTAGCCGAGGTGTTTTGAACGCGTTGGGAACTATATCCATTCTCTTCTATATCTGGTGAGATTAATCTGTCGTGTGACGACTCCCCTCGTGAACCATGGCTGTTTGGAAAGGTCGCGGGAGTCAACGACGATATAGACTGGGAAGTGATACGGGAAGCCTGTTGGACGAGATGTCTATCTTGGGTATTCCATGACGCCTCATCGGAACGCCCATATTGATCGTTGGGACGGATTATATGTGCGTGTAATGTTTCTGGGAGCGAACTTGATACCTTATCGTCATCTCTGTCACCCATACCTCTTTCCTCGCAATCTAAGCGGAACGTGAACTTGCGAAAGTTTGGAGGAAGCTTTGGTGCAATGGTAATGCAGGGGTCGCTTCTTTCAGCAGCGCTCGGATTGTTGAGAAATGGCGATGCTACTGAGAGCCATTAGCGGGATGTCCTCCAATGGCGAAAGCGTTGAGCACGCTGGTCGACGTTCCGTAGAGAGCCTGCTAATTGCAATGAAGAGAAGACGAGCACAGAAACGAAAAAAAATCCGCTGGAATAAGTTTACATCCGCTATAGCATGGCTCAGAATTTTTTGAGGCGGAATGGCGGAACAACTGGATCCACATCTAGATAATGCAGATACTCCAAAAAAGCCCGTACCGGTGTCTAAATTCATGGAAAATTTTGACTCCCCCCCTTTGGAAACTTGTGATATACAGTGTCAGGAGGTGTCAGATCGCCAACACACCGCCAAGGAATCATTAATGGGCCCGTACGCGACCAACTCCGGAGTCAAACATACAAGTTTGACTGGGCATTATTGTCGGGAGCTTACAATTGACCCTAACTCTATGATTTTTCAGTATCGAGGGGATGACAAAAGTGAAACATGATCGGCGGGGAGGAGTACTACGCCAGCCTTTCCGTATTTGTACAAAGCGGTCCTGCTTACCGGTAGGTCGCTTTGAAAGCCTAATATCGCGACTGTCTTCGAAGGGTGCCTGGACTGAACTATGCACTAGCTGAACTCCCACAAAACTACACAGTCATGAACCGCATCATCATGATCAGTTCACGCTCAGTGACTGATTTTGAATTGTGCTGACTCGCAGAGAGATTCAAGTACCGTGGAGACGGTTGAAAAAAAATATTGACAAGCGCATGCCATGGAATTCCTTATGGCTCAGAACCTAGCAAAAAAAACATCCGAGACATAGCAGTACTACATGTAGCACCGTCCAATTGGAATCGTCTTCATTGGCTGCTGAAAAGTGAAAGTACGGTATGTTACGGCATTCGATCTCTGTAAGCTACCAAATCGGGGGATCGATATTTTTTTATTTGAACTTGTGCCGATTCGTCGCGCTAGCAGGTCGAAGTCGAATCGAACGATGCATTCAAGACTCTCAGCTAGCAGGAGCATTGCAAGGCAGACGAGATCACTGTGGTCGTCTCCTGCAAGATGCGAGGACAAGCCCATCATGAACCGCTACAGCAGGACTGTCACGCAACCAAAAGACCAAGGTGCAAGTCCAAGTGAGTCATTTGAGTCGGGCAAGGAATGTAGAGAAACTGATATTCGTAGGCCATGCTGTACGCTACCGAAGGTATCAAAGATGACGAGGACTTTCAAAAGGCCATGGTCGGTGTCGCCAGCGTATGGTGAGTGTTGAGGCAATCAAATTCTTCCGCGGCCATTCCATTGACTACGGTCAAGGTATGAGGGCAATCCGTAAGGAAGAACGTATGCCATAAATAGATTTTTTTTGGCTAAGATACTCTCAGATGCAACCGACACTTGCTTGGCTTGGGGCAGGAAATCAAGAGTTCCTTGGTCGAGTCTGGCCTCATTGGCTACCAGTTTGGTACAGTTGGCGTTAGCGATGGGATCAGCATGGGCACTGCGGGAATGTCATATTCTCTACAATCACGCGACCTTATTGCAGATCAGGTAGAGACAGCCGCTGGCGGACACTGGTTGGATGGAATGGTTGTAGTACCGGGATGTGACAAGAATATGCCAGGTGTCCTGATGGCTCGTGAGTGAGGTACTCGTTTAGATCCACCATGCGTACTGACATATTATCATACTTGTATAGTTGGACGACTCAACCGTCCGGGTCTTATGGTGTATGGAGGCACGATTCGTGCAGGCTCATGCGCGGGTCAACCTCAGCTGGATCTTGTTTCCGCATTCCAGGCATATGGACAATATCTACAAGACGGAAAGACACCAGAAGCAGAAGCCCTCAGGTATGAGACAGTGCGACATGCATGCCCTGGCCCAGGTGCTTGTGGAGGGGTTAGTACCAATGTACCCAGTTCAGCGATAGTTTATTCACATATCGTCAGATGTACACCGCGAACACCATGGCCAGTGCAGCCGAGGCCCTTGGAATGACTCTTCCTGGCTCTTCGTCATATCCAGCCGAATCTCAAGAAAAACACGATGAATGTAAGACCGTTGGTGCCGCCATGCGAAATCTCATCGAGAAAAACATTCTACCCCGCGACATCATGACGCCTTCGGCATTCGAGAACGCTATGGTGTGCCATACTTTTTTCAGTTTTCACGGTCACTCATACCAAGTTTCAGGTTCTTACCATGATCCTAGGAGGTTCGACGAATGCCGTACTGCATCTTATTGCTATGGCACATGCCGTAGGCATCAAGCTTACCATTGATGATTTCGCACGAGTGTCTGAGTCAACCCCCTTCCTCGCTGATATCAAACCAAGCGGCAAGTATGTTATGGAGGACATCTACAAAATCGGAGGCATACCCAGTCAGTGATTCAACTACCGTGGTGACTTCCGCGTTCACGGATTTGTTTTTTCAACTACAGAGATACTTCATTTCTTGATGAAAAATAATTTCATTGACGGCAACAATATGACAGTCACTGGCGCTACTATAGGCGAGAACCTGGAGCGCTGGGTACATAAACATGGGGAACTCTCCACTAGTCAGGACGTGATCCGTCCCCTCGACAAGCCCATTAAAGCCACTGGACATATCAGGTTCGTCATTGCTATCTTCCAATAGATCTTTTCTCAAATAACCCTAGAATTTTACGTGGTAATTTGGCTCCTGGAGGTGCTGTTGCCAAGATTACTGGAAAGGAAGGTCTTGGATTTACCGGAAAAGCTCGCACCTTTGACTCAGAAGAAGACTTTGTCTCCGCCGTTGAGTCTGGCTCAATCAAAAAGGGCGAAAAAAACAGTTGTCGTCATGCGCTACCTCGGCCCTAAGGGTGGCCCTGGTAAGTGAAATAGTATCTTTGCGGTAATATTAATGCACGGACTATCCAGGTATGCGTGAGATGCTGAAACCCACTAGCTTAATTATGGGCGCTGGCCTAGGTCAGGACGTCGCGTGCCTCACAGACGGACGATTTAGCGGAGGGTTTGTGCCATTTCCATTCACGATGATTTGTATACTGATGGGATATCTATTAGATCTCATGGGTTCTGCATAGGTCACGTCGTCCCTGAAGCCCAGGTCGGTGGACCTATCGCGCTCGTGGAGGATGGTGACACCATTTCTGTCGATGCTGTGGCAAACACCATGGAACTGCACATCTCCTCTGAAGAGATGGAACGCCGTCGGAAAGCCTGGGTTGCCCCACCAATCAAAGTCACCCAAGGAACACTCTACAAGTATGTTAAAATGGTCGAAGACGCCAGCCATGGGTGCATCACGGATGGTTAAGATCGGCTATATTCTATACCCAGTATTCAATGAAAATAAAATAAATCTACCGAAGATAAAGGGATATAGCCAAGGGATTTCTAGTGTCCTCGCGAGCTTTTTGTTTTGCGCTTCTTTTCAGCTTTGGGGATTTTAGTTTTCCGCTTCTCACGTGCTTCGGTTTTGACGGCTTTTTTGCGTTCCTGAGTGAAAATCAGCAATATGATTGGTTTCTGATCGAGCGATGCTCGCCTTCTTAGCCTCCCGATCTTCGTGCCTGTGACCCCTAGGTGTGCGGGGGTCAAAGACGTCCTTGCCCGCCTCAGCTGCCTCAGGCTCTTCACTCCCTTCTTCCTCGCTATCGCTCGTGTACTCGCCTTCGTCAACGAGGTCCCCATCCTCCGAAGATCCCTCGCCCTTGAATCGCACACGTGGCCTGACTTCGCCTTCTTGACTCACCCCGGAGGTGAGATGCGTCAAACCAATGGTTTCTGCGTAGATCAAGTTTTTCCCATCACCCTTCGTCAAAACCTCCACGTCGCGTTCAGCGTCGTACACCTCGTTCAGCGTGCGGGGGATGTATGACTGAAGGAAAATATTGTCTTCATGAGTAGCTGATGTGTTTAATGAGGAGGTGACATTGTTATTGCTTCCGTCCATAGATGGGAAGCTTTGTTGTTCTTCGTCGGCTTCTGTCAGCCAGTGCTTCAAAGCGGATCCCTCGTCCTGCCCCTCCTCGACTACGTGCACCCTCGTGATGAAGTCGAAGCATCGCCTCAAACCCAGGCACTTCACCCCAAACCTCTCGAAAAAGTCCTCGATATTCTTGATATCGCTCCTCAGGAAATCGAACGCGCTGGGGTGATCGTGCTCTACAGATTGCGAGACGTCGATAATGCAGAGATGTCCACCGTGAAAGAGAATATTGTATTCGGAAAGATCGGCATGAACAAGTTTGCAAGTGTGATACATCTTCCGGACATTGAGAACGAGCTCTTCGTACAATGCTGGGTATAATGCAGAGGGGATATCGGCGTCCTTTAAGCGAGGAGATGCCCTGACGTCCAAGTGATGGATGAGCGATGGAAGAGACTTCAGCGCGATGAAAAATATTACCAGCCCTCCTCATCACCAATAAAACCCATTACCAAGATATTTTCCCGGACCTCGATGGGCTCGGGGCATGGTATTCCGGCGGACACGAGTCTCTTGAGATTGCGCATTTCCTTCTCCGCCCACAGACGTACCATCTTGCGTGGATTGCGTCTACTATAACCACGTCTGAAGCGATACTCGCCTGTCACATAACGATCACGGTCCTTGAATACAAGTATTGATGTCTTGTATATTTTGAGGGCAATATGCGTGGAGGTGGGGGTGAGAGCATGATAAACATTCGCCTAAAAATCTCAGGCTTGTAGGCAAAAACGTTCAGATAAACCCAGATGATCTCACCTCCTTTCCTGTGCTAACACATCCATTCACCTCCTGGATAAGTTCTCGTCCAATCATCTTGAAAAGGATAATCCGAGTGCGGGGGTCAAGTACTTGCTCAGATGTGGCGCGATCTGACTTGTCCTTCGCATTCGCATATGAACTAGGACCTTTTCTGTTCACGCTGGCGCCCATGACGTACGGTTGATCAATTTTAGCAATGCGAGACGAGTACTTGGAGAGAACAGCCAGTTGATTGGTAGTTTTGTCCTTTGCATGCGCAGGAACCGCACTCAGGCTGCGTGGCTTATTTACCGCAGGAAGAGGTGCAACAACAGCTGCACGATTAATGGAGGATGCGACTCCCTGTGCGTTGCCAGTGCGCACAGCGACGTGCTGCCGAAGCCGGTTATATTGTTTGGTAAAATCTAGGATGATCTTGAAATATCGGTCGTCGTAAGGGTGAATACAACTCACCCCGTTCTGCAACCTCCCAATCTTCATCATCTGCTCTGACATCTTCAAAGTCATCTTCGTTTAGCTCGTCTCCGTCATCATCTTCCGAGCTCTCGTCAGACCATGAAAGAAGGCGTTCGTCATCAATGAAATATCCGCCTACGCGCGGATCTTGCTGGTCGTCCACGGCTCGGGTGGTGGTCTCAGAAGGAGCATCATCAAACTGCCCCTCCACGATGGCTGACTGATTTTCTGCAGACATACCGTGGTTTGAAGTAATTGATAATCCACCACTTTAATAAAGTTCAAGTTTAAGCAGGGCTGATAAGATAAAACACACGTGATCCATTTGAAGCTACCAAATTCTACGTATACTGGCCGCGTACCTCTTGCACAGCCGTTACAACCTGTCTCAAAGTTAACGTCCCACAACGAATTCTTGACATGGATGCCCTCCGACGAAGGAACCCATTCAAATACTCCTCTGAACCCTCTGAATCACATGACACACACATACTAGATGAACAAGGTGACGCAGTCAAACCGTTTCGTTGCGGTGCCAGAGATGTTGATTTCGTCATTGCAGAACAAAGTGAACTCATCGACAACATTAAGAGTCTGAACGCAACATCGAATAGCCAGAACCGCATTGCGTTGCAGATTACGCTCGCGCTGTCTTTTTTACTGTGAGCACAACAATATGAATGTAACAGTGATACCGGTCCAACGTATATTACCAGGCATATAATTTACATCTTCTCCGACTACAACAGTCCATTAATTGTTGTTTTTCCACCAGCCAGTAGACCTGAGTCTCCACTCTATCTAAGTCCTGTCTTGACACTCCTCGCGATCATCCTCCATGCAAATGCTGCTCTGCTCACTTACCCCCGGAAATTGATTCTTGCTAAACGGCGAATAACGCCTCTTCCTTATAGTGTCGCGTTCGGGCTATCAGCGATTTCTCCTACAACCTCGGTTTTGAGCGGGAAAACATGGCAGACCACAGCATGGTGGTGTACTGCCGCTTTTTTGACCTGGATCGTACACGCATCAAATAAGTGGATTGTGCAGGAGCAAGAAAGTATATCCGAGCTCGAAAGAATGAAGTATATATCTGCTGGGGCGTAGAAAACGCAAGTATGCTTGTTGACATTAGTTACTTCTTTGTACTCTAACTGACCATTGATTTCGCCAGCCTTGATGTGCATGCACACCATGTGTCTAGACGTCGTTGATCGTCAGAGGTTATTACATGAACTGGGACTGTCCAGTAGCGATGTGAGTACAAAAACCTTTTCTAGATTACATCCTGAATGAAGTCCAGATACTATGGCCTGTAGTCGGTACAATATTGCTGGGGGCTAGTTTGACGATGTAATAGGCTTTGCTGCAACTACATCCCTTGGCGTTATCTCAACGACCTCGAGCTGATCCGATCCATGAAACTATGTAGATAAAAATCAGTGAATTCTTGAAGAACAGGAAGAACCTACGAAATAAATTCTGTCTCTATCAATCCACATCTTTTCAAACCCACGATATCCAAATGCTCTGTCCTGGTTCAACACAACCTCAACGTATGGCAGGGATGTCGTTAAGCTCTCCCCCGTCTCTGTGATTTCTATCGTAGATGGCTCTTTCACGACTCGTCCTTGTCGACGCTCGACAGCTAATGGGCTGAAGTCCATCACATGTAATCTATACTTTTTTGGGAAATGCCAGATGCCAATCGTGTCGTCTGTAGGAAATGCCAGCAACACTCGATTTCCACCAACGGAAATGTTGCGACTGCTCGGTGTCTGGAATACACGAGTATTTAAAGGACCCCAGTTTTTCCACGGTATTGCTCCTAGCATTCCCTCAAATAAGTCGAGATGGAAGAAAATTCTGGTGGAGATGAAGAAGATGAGATTCGGAGAGAATGTGACAACTGATAGTAGTTGATGTTCAGGGTCAGAAGTCCACATCGTTTGTTGGGCTAGTATCTGGGGTCGCGAGCTATGTGCAATATCATCCGTTGAGTATATGCACTGTATACTCGTCAGTGATATAGGCAACAAGAAGCACGCTAGTAATTTCGGCGCTTGAGACGTGTCCTCGATCAAATAGACCTTCACGACATCGCCGAAAATAAGTAACCTGTCGTTTCCGAGGAAGCAAAAATCGATAGCTTCCTCACACGGCGGGTTTGTTGTGACACTGAGGACGCTCTAAATGAAGTGTCAACAGGTCTTTCGACTAGTTTGGACCAAGGCTCACACTGGACGTTGTTGAGTGCTGCCAGTCCCAAATCTGCAACTCCCATAGCCTCGCATCCGAATATTCACCAGTGATCTGTCGGGAGTGCCACAGAGCGATATGCCTTCCAAAGCACTTGAGTTTTAATTTCCCCAAGTTTATTGAAGTGCGATTACCGCTCTGGATTTCAGGCAACTCTGACCGAAATAATGTCCGTCCAACGGCTTGGGGGTGGATACCTCCTCCATCCAGGGTACTGAGATCGATATAGATTCTCTCGTCATTCCACTGGAAATGATCGTCGACAGTGGCATACGCGATGGCGATGAGATTTTGCACTGGATCCATGAGCACATCGAAGCCGTATGCATTGGGATCTGAACGCAACGACATCGTAGACCAACCACGCTCAATTGTGTGTTGGGAAGGCTTCGGTAGTATTGGGAAAATTGTGGTCGAGTCTCTATGTCGCTCCCACAGGCAAAGATGCCCGTTGACAACCCACATTTCGGTATGGAATGGTATGGAGACTTTTTCGAAAGAGTGGATATCAAGCTTCAACCATGCGTGAGCATTATCCCTCAGGAGTTGTAGGCGCTTGGAAATAGAAGTGCGATTGTCAAAAGTGTTAAGGACAGGGAGGAGGTGCTGACCGCCGAGCTCAACGATGTACTGAAGCTCGGAGCACGATATGTATGTCTGGCGAAGGGCCTTACATACCTGCAAGAAATCCGTCAGTATCAAGGGCAACAACATCGATTACTAGTAGCAGGTTGTAGCTCACGGATGTACATCGAAGAATATCTCGGTAAGGAAGGAAACTCAGTATATAAGATTGGAGTTCTTCAGCAAGAGACTGGAATTCGGCTTTGGGCTTGTTTTCCTGTTGTAACATCATTGAATACAACTTGAAAGCTGAACCGAATCAGCAACCGATCAGTGATTCAGATGGGCATTGGGCCTCATTGGGCGCACCTTGACCGATCTAATTATAAGGCACACACAAACACTTCTGACTTCCCCACAAACACAACGTGACTCCAGGGCCCACAGAAGGCTAGTGGCACAAGTCTAAGGTTGATGTCGAGGTCTTTTCTAGGGAACAAACGACTAGCTCATGAAGAATTATCCGCGCAGAGGACGCTGCGAAAAGTTCGGCCTGGAAAATTAGAACAGTTCTCAACCGATCTATGTCTGATCGCTCATGGCATCCGGTAAGCCTTGGTAGTCGCGAAAACACATAGGTTGACATGATGGGCTGTGCAGATCTGCTTGCTTAGTGGACGCGTTCGCTGTACAGGACCCCCGTTAGTTTGTTTTCCCGCGTATTGGCTGGCTTGCGGTCGAAGGTACGCTTTGATCAGGGATGTACTGCAGCACAATTTATCGAAAGCGGATGAACCAGAGTGCAACTTTTGCTGACATTGTCCATTGGTACGATCCTTCGTCACTTCAGTCGTTCATCGTAAATTCTCGCATCCTGCGAGCCTTCGCTCGAACAGTGTTAGAGGACAATGCCACGGTCACATATGTTCTCCTCGATGCGTTCCCTACACTGGTGAGTATGTAGACAGCGTGGAACACCTCAACTTCCGATCCACATCTCAATACCTCCTACCAGTTGAGTAGCACGCCAAAGACTGTGCTGGACGTTATATGCGCCATGAATGCAGACATGCTAGAATCTCAAGCCAAGGTCTCATTTTCCTTCGTTGATGGTTTGACACAAGACAATCTTGTTCCTCTGGCTGCGACTTTGATCGGTTATCCGGTCGCATATGTCCCCATCTCGGCTGATCAGACCTCATTCCTGAGCGGACAACCTTTGGACGTTTATGAAGCAATTATCGTCCCCGCGACGTCACGCGTATCTTCGTTGCAAGGCTCTAATCAGTCGCATACTCTACTCAAGTTCTCTTGTCCGTGTTTGCTTGCGGAGACGAACCATGAACTATCTCCGGAACGCGTTACCAAACGCCTCCAGTCACAGTTCCGAGAAAGCCTTTCTTCCATTGGGTCATCGCTCTTGGTTCATCATTATGTAGAGGTTATGGATCGTGTTGCGCTTTAAATATCTCTTCAAGAAAGATGATGATGCAAAGATGTGCAATTCAAGTTAATCGACATCAACATTGACGATCTTGATGTCTTCAAATGGCTTGTCCATCTTATTCGTCTTCACGTTTTCGATATTATGGACGACCTCCAATCCAGAGAAAACACGTCCGAAGATCGTATGCTTCTTGTCTAACCATGGAGTGGCTGTAGTGGTAATGAAGAACTGTGAGCCGTTTGTGTTGGGACCTGCATTTGCCATGCTGACGGTATACGGGCTGAAATAAAGTCAATCAGCGATAGAAATTTGACTTTGTGACAAACGCCAAATAATTACCGGTCATGTGTCAAATCTGGGGAGAACTCATCTTCAAATTCCCTATCCCAAATCGACGTCCCCCCTGTGCCGTCGCCCAATGGGTCTCCAGTCTGGATCATGAACTTCGGAATGACCCGGTGGAAAATGACACCCTCAAAGTAACCACTCCGTGCATGGCCCACAAAGTTCTCCACGGCCTTGGGAGACTGTTGGGGAAATAAGCGCATATGTATGTCGCCCATGGAAGTGTGAATCACTGCAGATGAAGCCAAAGGTGATGGTCCTGATTTGGTAAGGGTAGTCGCAGAGGCAATGGACTGTTCTTCACGCGTCGGTCGTTCATTAAAGACGTCTCTGTCGTGTATTTTGCTGTCTCTGTGATACAGATATGAAGACGTAGCGCAGCCAGATGATAGAGTGCTTACTCTGGTTCGGATCGGGTAAAGAGATAGAAGCGCTGGCGTTTATACCCCGTGCACAAGAGGGTCGGGTCTCGAATGCCCTTATTGGCAAGCATGGGATTCGCAGACGCTGTCATCGCCTACAAAAGTTGCTCGTCAGGGTCCCTCGATCATGAATAGGCACATACAGGCGCTAGCCCTTTCTTTGCCGGAGCTCCTTGATATAACGCAAGGTTCATCCATCGAACTGATTCATCCCTTCCCAGTAGCCGCGCAACACGGTTTGTCACCGTATTGACCACTGAGAGACCGTAAGGTGTCAGTTTTGAGTCTGCCAAACAAAGCCATTTCCAACCTTTGATTCCGAGTAAGGTCGGATACAAGACAAACGCCCCACTTTCGTCCCACACTGCATTGGTCGACATTACAGGAATTCGTCCATCAGGACCTGGCATCTCAAGCTCCCTTTCCACTGCCAGCCGCCTACCAAACTCCATGTCCTCTACGCGATGGATCGAAGTGCTGGCCTGTTGCATTTCCTGGATTGCTGTTAATGACTCGTCGTACTTTCGAGTAAGTTTGCCTTTCAAGAAAGAAAATATGCGGATTTGACGATCTGGAAGAGAAAATGTAACAAAGGAAGAGGAATCAGGTGAAAGCGTTATGCAAGCAGGGATTGATTTTGTCTAGAGAAAACTCAGCGAATGCTACAAGATGGAAAAGCTAATTTACCTTTTTGAACTCGTAGAGGTCCGTCGAAGACTTCAATGACCACATGCCAGGTATGTTTTTCGGTGGTTCGAAAGGTTCAAATGGTTGCCAGTACTCGACGAAACCGTTTTCATCACCAGAAACCACGGTATCATAGCGGTCGCTGTACTAAAGTCATGACCGTCACATCAGGTGCTTCGTTCAAATAGGGTAGGCTCACCGCCATCAAATGCACAGGGAAACGATGAAGCTTCTCAATTGTTAGCAGTGGGGTGTCATTACCGCGACCATCATACAGTCGTATGGTACCCGTCCCTTGCTCCGAGCTATATACTTTGTTAGAAGTTAACAAGAAAATCGCGCAAGATACTTACACAGCCAGCAGGCCTTGTGCTTGCCCTCGTCTATGTACCCAACAACACGCGTGAGGGGTAAACCCGAGCTTTAACATGTTTATCATATCTGTTTACTAGTCAGCGTTAAGATAAATAAATATAGCCCACTTGCGCACCAAAGTTGAGCACATCAAATACTTTTGCAGACCCGTCTTCCGAGATACTCGCAAAAAGCTGTCCATCTGCACTTGCTGAGACTCCAGTTATAGGGCTCATGTGTGCACGAAAGTGTTTCACAAATTCGATGCCCTCGTCCTGCTTCTTCCAGAATTTTAGATGTCCGTCAACCGATGTAGTAATGATAAAGCCTGTCCTGTTTCGAATTTGAGATACTCGCTCTATAGATATTCTCTGGGACTCACTTCGTGACAACAACGAAGCTCAGGAAGTCGCGGTGCATGTAGCTTTTGTAGTACTGTTCTGCATCTGGGAGGTGGTCCAGGTACAGTTTCTCGTGGGGGACCACTAGCATTGAGTTGTAAGTCGATGATTCATAAACTGATAAGTGTATGACCTACCTCTGCGCTTCCTTTTGGATCCACCATTGGCGCCGGCAGGTAGAGGCATAGGACCAACATCATCATCGCTGTCGTCCTCATTTATGTCTGCGTCGGCAGCTGGCATGGGTCCATCTTCGCCATCCTGCACACGACCTGTGTCATCGTCCGAGTTTCTACCACGCTTGCCAAGCACGGTTGTATCCTGCTCTGTGTCAGACATGAAATCCAGTGACCGCCAGTAACCAGCGAGCGAGAATGAGAGTGTCCTCACGTGACTATTCTCAATGTGGACGCGTTTGTTTGGATCCAAAGCCTTTGCCAAACAACCGCTACGTATACCGCACTCAGATCCACAAACCACGTCTCAATAACATGTCTGACAGCCCAGGTGACTTCCTCGACAGCGTCGAAGGGGAGATTATTTTCTTCCGATCCGTAATGAAGGCTCGGCCCGTTGGCCTTCACAAACACTTTCACGTATTAGCCATTCGCAATGCAATACACAATGAAACTGGCCATATACTACCCGTCGAGAGTATTTGGGTAAAATTGAAAACGTGTTATGATCTTGATGCATTAGAGACAGCGGTGAGCTGCAAAGCGCTTTCATTTTTGGTTTTACTCGTCTCAGTGCGCGCCAGGAAATTGATGGTTTCGACACGCCGACCTCGAGCCAGAATTCAACACCACACCTCGTACGATCCCCTTCGCCTTCCCAGAACCTCTCACGACATCCATTCTTTCGAGATGAATATTCTCTTCCTAATGAGGATGGTTTCAATAATCTCGTCTCAGAGCGTCGGATACGTGCAACGGCCTCCCTTCCATCATCAACGCCCGCACCATCCCCGCGCCAGCCCAGCAAACCGAAAAAGACCAAGACCACAAAACGTAGTAAGAGCAAGGCGGACATGGCTGGCCTGGTAGGGGGCGATAGTGACAGCAGTGCGCTCACGCAGGAGAGTGGAGATGAGGGTGCTGGAATCACCCCTAGCGTTATCACAGGCACCGATGCGGGCACGGACTACGAAGAGGACAACACGGACGTGCAAGAAACATCACCTGGTAAATTATTTTCGCTCATGTCTTATTCTCGGCTGATGTATACAGGTCAATCGAAAGCGGGCCGAGGACGTGTCAAGCAGCTTGCCCGAGGAGGGGCGGTGGGACGAGCCAGGGCAGGGTCAGCGAGCAACGCCCGGGGAACCAAGAAACGAAAGAAGTAGCATTTCGTGTTCATTATCGTATTTGCTTATTATGCCTCCACCCGTTTGCTCTGACGATGACAGGCATTCCCTTACCAGGGTTACAACGTTTCATCCAATCTTGTAAGTGCCGTTTTCAATACTAATGCCGACTGTAGCATTGCGAACACTGGTACACTGGATTGAGGCTAAGATACAGGCAATTTCAGTATTGCCCACTTCAACCAGGCAGACCGGAATGGGCGGGTTTATGAACATTAAAGATGGACATCAAGACCAACGTTATGCATAATCTACATACGTAGATGTCACCTTCCACTCGTGGCTGCAACGCACGTTAGTGTGGTAGGAGAAGTACTCTGGTCTCCCCAACCCTGTATCTAATCTCAAAGGAACTCCTGAAAAAGACTTCGCATTCAGTTCAACTTGACACAAAATTAACGATAAAGGATTGATATGATCAATCCATCGAAACATCCATCTTCACAATCCCTTCCTCTATCGTCAACCGCTTGTTCCTTCTCTCCGTTATAAATGCATCGATTTGTGCTTTAAGTTCCACATCTACCACATAACGTTAAACATGGTAAACGCGCATCACAAAAAAACGTACTGGGCATAACATCCTCTATCACCATCGGCACCCGGTTGAAAGGATCTTTGGAGTCAGAGAGCAAATGAGACTTGATAGTCGAGCGATCCACGATGGCACGAGAAGATGGAAGCGTGACTGGATCACGCATGATCGTGGCCATGAGAGGGTCTGATGAATTCGTCATGAGCCATGTTCCATGACGAGGCAAAAGATGAAAAAACCAACCCAAAAACTCCTCCGGGATCTCACCCAAATCTTCCTCTGCCTCGATTGTAGTTTTCATCTCCTCTACCTTGGACACAAAAGACCTCACAACCCCAATCTCAGCCTCAGTCTTCAACGGCACTCGTCTAGCAGTCTCCATCGCCGCCTCAAACAATTCCTTCCTATAACTCCTCCCGTCATTTGCAACAGCTCTCACAAACTCCTCTTGATCGCTGAGGTTGATGTACACTTGCAGAATATCGCTCAGGAGCTGACGGGGATTGAACTTGTATTTCTCTGGGTCTTGTACCCTCAGCTCGCCGCACTTGGGCCCGACAAGCGCATCGAGGTTGTAATCCAGCATAGCCGCAAGTTTGTCCACGATTTCGGGCATCATGAATGGCCCCTTGGTTTCTGCTGTAAAATCCTTCAAAAGACCGACGGTAGACCTGCCCAGTGTGGTATACCCAGATGCGTGCCGCTCAAGGCCGCGGAGCGTACCTTCGCGTTCACGCCGGTACTGCTGAGGACGAGCGTTCCAAGCGGCTTGGTCGCGCATCTCGGTCTGGATGTTATGGATCTGCGTGAGCTCGCTAAGAGATTCATCCATGAGATAGGTGACGTCGTTGATCATGAGGTTGATGAACCGGATGAACTTGTCGACGTTCCTGAAGGATAACATTGGT